GAGCGCATTCCTACCCTCACGCCCTCGCTGCGCCCAAACACGCCTAGCAGCCGTAGCAGCGTCGGTGCAAACTGTTTGCGGCGGCGTACCCCGGCCACGCGAAGGCCCCCCCTTCCAGGAGGCGGGCGCCAAGGGCATCTTCAGTCCTTCTTGGGCACCGCCTTCGGGGCCTTGGAAGCACCCTGAGACTTGAAGGGGGGCTTTGAAACCTTGGGCTGCTTGGGCTGATGAGGTGGATGCTTGGGAAGCGCGACGGCGCGCTCGGCGTCGAGACGCGCCCGAAATGCTTGCAGCTCCTTCATGTATTCGCCCTGCGCCGACAGCCAGCGAGGATCCACCAGGGGTGAGAACGGGGTCTGGGCCTCGCGCTCCGTGTGACGACTGGTCACGCGACACGGGGGAGGCTCCAGCCCCGTGAGGAACCAGGCGGCCTCGAGATAGCCGCGGTCCCCCGCCAACTGGTCGATGAACATGCACTGGCAAGTCAGCAAGGTCTGGACCCTCTCGGGGTTGCCCTCTTCGCAGGCCCGCCACAGCTCGGCGCTGAGGAAGGCAAAATGCGTCAACAACTCGTGCGTCGACGGCTGAGCCCCGAGGGGGCTGTGCTCGCGAAAGTACTGATGCATGGCCATGGGGGTCACGGCGCTGACTTCCACGCCCAGGACGCGGGCCAAATTCTCCTTCATCAGTCCTCGCACGTCGGGGCCGTGCTGCATCAGCACTTGCTGCCACTCGCGCCTCCGAGCAATTCCCCCCATCTGAGCCGATGCGTGCGCGTGGTCGCCCGAGCTCGTGGGCGGAGATTGAGCTTGGTCGCTCAGGGTCCCCAGAAGCGGATGGACGGCTGGGCGATGGCCCCGCCCCTGCTGCAATAAAAGGGACTGGTGCAGGCACTGAAGCATGAGGCTGAAGTCCGTCGGATTGGCCGCATGGGGCGGCTCTGACCCGTCGGCGCCGCCCGCCTCGGCAAAGCCGTCGACCGCAGCGGGATGGGCTAGCCCAGGCGGCGGCGGGGGACCCATCGGACCGAAAGCGGACGAAGGGGCCTGAGGGACAGCAAGAGAGCGCGCCTTTTCCCACGCCGAGACCAGCGCGGAGGTCGGACCCTTGGGACGCGCGGAGACCCGCTGTGGGGCCACGGGCGCGTGGGACAGGACGGCCTCGATCCCCGCGGGATCCAGCCCGAGGCGCGCCGCCTCGTCGCTGAAAAGCTGAGGCACCTCGGGCCGAACACTCCGGGCAGCCGGGGCGGGGCCCAGCGGCTCGGGTCCGCCGACCATCGTGGAGGCCGCGTGGGCTGCAAGCAAGGCGCGCATTTCGGCAGCTACCTCGGCGCGGGCCATGGGGGCCCCGTCGTCCAGAGACGCCGCAGGAGCACCAGGGGCGATCGGAGCAGGACCCGCGACCCGTGGCGGGGCGGCGGCGCCCGCGCGCTTGGCGGGCGGGCCGCGCGGCGCTCCAGCGACCGCGGGAGATCGCGCACTTGGGGCCGTGCGGTCGGCTTCCCCGTCGGCCGCGAACCCCTCGGGCTCCTCCATCTCGTCGGCAGAGTGATAGGGGGTAGCCCGATCGGCCCCTGGGAGAGGCTCTTCCCCTGCGGTAGGCGGGGCGCCGTGCAAGCGAGCGTAGCCCTCGCGAAGCACCCGAACCCCCGAAGGATGCGGCCAATAGACGCGGCTGCGCACCTCGGCGAAGGGAACGATGCCTGCGTCGTCGCCGACCTCTAGAGGGTACAGCGACTCGAGCTCGAGCTCGGCAACCTCGATATCTATAACGAGGACGGATGCGGTAGTGGCGAGCGGCCGTGAAGCGGCCCCCTGGAGCTGGACGTCCACTAGCTGGAAGGGGCCTATCATCCCAGCAAAGCCATCCGCCTCGGCAGCCTCGAGCTCCGCCGTAGAGCGAAAGGCACCAGGCAGGGCCAGAAGGATGCCCCCTTCTCGAGAGGCGAGGGGGATAGCCGCCCAGCTGGTGTCGCCGTCGTCTAGGCGCCATCGTGCGTAGTCGCGCGCCGTGGGAGCAGCGAATGGGTAGAGCTCGGGCCAAAGGGGCCCTCCGCCAACTGGTGGCAGCTCCGCCATCAATGGGCGCCGCCGTGGAAGCCGCCGCCCGAATGCTGGGCGTCTGCCCGCTCGAGCGCTCGAGGTCGAGGCGGAACCCCGTAGGCCAGCGCTCGCGCCGCACGGCGGTCCTGCTCAGGGGAAGCAGGAACCGCGCCGCGCGGCCAGGCGGAGGCCCAGAGCCTCCGCCACACGTACGGGCCCAGCAGCCCGAGGCAGCAGCCCGCGCAGGCGCTGCAGGCGGCCGTCACCCAGAGGAGGGCGACGACCGTGCTGAGCAGCCAGGGAGAGACCCCGCCGCTCAGATCCACCGCCAGCCCGAGGCAGACGGTGGGGCAGGCGGAACCCGCCGAAGGGAGGGGGCAGTAGGCCCCCTCACCCTCGGACGAGTCCGCCTGCGGGATGGACCAGGCAGGCGCAGGAGGCCCCTGGTCCTGCAGCACAGAGAGGGGGGCAGCCACGAGCCGCTCGAAGAGCGCGGCCCGCAGCCCCCTGAAGAAGATCTCCCCAGCGCCCTCGAGAGCCGCTTGTGCGACCGCCTGCATAAGGCGCCCGCGCGCGCGGCCGACGGGGGGGCACTTGGGCAGAGAAGCTGCGGAGACAGCAGGAGCTTGCTCACAGAGAGTAGAAGAGGCACTTCCCGTCCCCACGGTCACTGCAAGCACCCCGCCGTTGATAGAACCACTGTTGCGAGATGGCTCTATTGACCCAACTGCATTCCTACGCCCTTTCGAAGGTAACCCGAGAAGTTTGTGCGTTTGAGTGTGCGCCCATAATGTCTGCGTCTGGAGAATAACACCGAGCGACCCGGATCGGCGGCACTGGCCGAAGGCCACTACAATAAATACGCACAAATAACAGGATTCTCCATATTTTCCAATATTTTCTGGGTTTTTGTCTTCCCCCCCACTTCCCATATTTTCCCATATTTTCCTGGGAGTCGACGATTAATTGTGTCTGTGTGCTTCCTCCCCTCCTGAGAAAGGGCAACCTTGGAACGTGGCGCATCCTTACCACGCGGGCCGACCGAGCTTGCGCTCCAGAATGGGCGGGAGCACGGCCGGCCGTGCCCGCGCCTGCCACAGCGTGTTCGCCGCGCCGACGCGGGCGGGCGACGCAAACGCACGGAGCGTGTTCGCCTGCCGAGCGAAGTGTTCGCCTGCCGAGCGAAGTGAGCCCCACCCTTCCCCTCGGAAATCGTAGGGGGCAGGGGTAGGGTTCGCGTGCGGCACCCTAGCTGCGGAGGACGGCGCGGGCGAGTCGAGGCGGAGGCCGATGCGGGCTGCGCCAGAAGGCACGGAGGGCGGGAGGGGCGCCGTGGCCCGGAGGCGGGCAAGAGGGGGGGCGGGGGGGAGCGGAGGAGGAGGAGGGGGCACGGGAGGAGGCAGGGGACGAGCAAGGGGGTGAAGGTGAGGCGCACGAGGGGGAGGGCTGCAGGGGCCAAGGGGGAGAAGGCGAAGAGGGAGAGTGATGAGGGCGACGACGAGGGGGAAAAGACGGAGGACAAGGAGAAGAGGGATGAGAAATGTGAGGAGTGGTGGGGGGGAGAAGGAGGAGGAAGAGGAGGAGGCGGAGAAGGACATGGAGGAGGAGGAGGAAGAGGAGGAGGAGGAATGTTAAGAGGGAGGAGGAGGAGGAGGAGGAGGAGGAGGATTGTAGTATAGCGCTGGTGCCCTCAATGGTAGGCATAACCTTGTATGTGTCGGCTGTGACGATTGGGCTCACACCTCCTTTTATGTGTGTGCTTGTGAGTGTTGGGAAGTCCTACCTGACTTTGCATGGAAGAACGTGGTGGCGGCGACGTACCAGAAAAATGGATGGCTCGTACGCGCCAGCCGCATGTTTCTTGACAGCGACCTCTGCCAGTGCAGACTTCGTACAGCCTGGTGCACATGCGAGTAACTCACATCCGCAGACAAGAACATGAACGTTTTTTGTTCGGCGTTGCGACATTGGGCGGAAAGGGGGGGGGGTAAGGGGGGGATCTGGCTCCGGGCCTCTGCTTAACGCGACTGTTTGCAACAATGCGTCCTCTGTGGAAGACAAGATGTACTCCAGGGGGGGGAGGGGGGGTGCGAAAGCCCGCGCCGATCGGCAAATCAATAAGAGAACAATCACACCAACGAACATGCATAAACTGAACCCGGGACTGCTGGAATTGCCGCCGGGCTGTGTCCCAAAGGCGACGCCAACAATTGGGCGAGGAACCGCTAGCACGGATGAACTCACGAATGAACGAGCTACCGTGCTGTGGTCGAGACTCCCCTGCGCAACAAGAATTAGCAAGCACACATCAACTACACTTCTGCTCCACAACCACGACGTAGCAACCAAACTCGGGAGCGGCCAAGAGGGGGGTGTCCAAGAGGGGGGGGTGCAAATCATGACCGGCGGCATGTGCGCGGCCCAGCGGGGGGGCCTGGGACGTAATAAAATAAGAAGAGGCGCTATGAAATCTGGGGAAATATCATGGCCCGCGCCATGAAATCCACCCCCCCCTAGTCATCACCCCCCTCTTTTCCGCTCCCGACAAACATCAGATGAACTAGGAATCCCGGGATGGCCGGCGGGCCGTGTCCCCGAAGCCGAAGCCTCCAATAGGTGAGAATTCGCTATCGCGGATGAACTCACGAATGAACGAGCTACCGTGCTCTGGTCGAAAGTCCCCTTCACAGCAACAGGCAACAAATGCATATAAGCTGCATCTCGCCATCACCATCAATAAATAACAAATATACGTGAACTGAACTTGGGACTGCCGGCATTGCCACCGGGAGGAGGAAGAAGAGGACTGTGAAGAGGGAAGAAAAGAATGAGAAAGAAAAAGAGGCGGGGGAGGGTGAGAACCGCGAGCCTAGAAGAAAGACAGCGAGCATGATGCCCCTGGGGACAGGCAGAGAGAAGAAGAGGAAACATAACGCAGGGTGAACGCTCTGGGTCCTGCAATGAGGCCGATGCGGCCTATCAGCTGCGAGTTGTACACGAAGACATCGCGGGGAAATTCCTTGAGGTCCACGAACCCAAAACCTGGCATCAACCGGGAACGTGCCAAGCATTGAAAGATGTGTAGAAGGAGGGAGCCGTCCTCCCGATCGTCCAATGATACCCCTTCCCTCTTTTCCGACACAGTACGTGTTGCCCAGGGGCTTGAACCCGAATGAGCAGGGTGCATTTCAAGTGTGCTGATTTCTGATGTGTGCAACCTGCCTTTTGTGTCTCTGTCGCCGCACGTGCCGCAGAGCCGACGCATGCCCGCCTGTCCGCCTTTTCGCGAGGCAGCTCGGACGCCACCGCCCCCCCCGCACACGTCCGCGGATGGCATGCACCCAGCAACAACACACAAAGAGGATCGTCATACACTCAACTGCTCCGATGAGCCAAACCGTACACACACAGACACACACACACACACACGCACGCACTCGCACACACACACACACCTTCTCATTGTCCTCCACCTCATACGTCGCATCCCCCCGCATACAATCGCCTGAGCATGCCTAGACCTGCTCTTCCGCCTCCCTCACCATTCTCCTTCTCCCTCAAGGCGCCGTGCAAATACTGTGCCAGCATGTTCCTGAGACGTGCCCAGCATGCGCGGGAAGAGGAGGATGAAGGAGGAGGACGACGAAGGAGGAGGAGGAGGAGGAAGAGAAGAATGACACGCGCATGCCAGGCACGTCCTTACATGTGCATGTGTGGGCACATACGGGCCTATCCGAAGACGGAGGAGGACGACGACGACGGAAAAGGAGCAGGAGGGAGGCGGATCGCAGGGGGGGCGGAAGCCAACAGAAGAAGGAGGGCGGTGGGGAAGTGAGAGGAAGAAGGGAGGAGGAGAAGGGAGGAGGAGAAGGGAGGAGGAGGAGGAGGAGAAGAGGAGAAGAGGAGGAGGAGGAGGAGGAGTGATGGGGAGATCATGCAGCTGCATGCTTTTGCACTCGGCCGCCGCGGCGCGGAGCCGCGCCGCGGTCGAGGGGAGCCGAGGGACGGACGCCGCGGGGCCGAAGCGGGCGCAGCAGGGCGGGGAAGCGGCGCGGGCGCGGGGCGCGGGGGCCGCAGGCGGCGGAAAGCACGGCCTCAGAGCATGAGACATACACAGTCAACTGCACAAACACATATATATATATATATATATATAGATATATGAACATATTCCTTCTACCTATGAAATTGCAAGGGGAAACCCCACAGGTCACCGGCACCCCCCCCCCCACATACCCCCCCCGATATGCGCCCCACGCCCTTCCATTGGTGATCCCAGGAGCCCCTCCCGCAGCCTCCTCCGAACCTTTCCTGGGCCTCCACCCTCCCCAAGACGCCGACGATTGCCCCAAGGCGGCCCAAGAATCCGCAAAACCAGCCCTAGAGCCTGCTAGGACGCCTGCCGGGAGGAGCCAAAGTGACTAAAACCAATGGTTTTTTCTAGGTTCCGATCCTTTCTCGACTTTCTGGGCTCCCCAGTTTTCGCACGCTCCGACACGGCCCAAAAGGATTGCAGAACCGCCACAACGCAGTCCCAGACACGGTCCACGACAGCCACAAAGATGCTCCCCTGATGGACCACGAACTCCCATGGTACCCCTTCCGCAGCCTCCTCCAAGCCTTTCCTGGGCCTCCACCCTCCCCAAACGCCCGCGATGGCTCCACGGCGGCCCTTGAAGTCGCAAAAACAGCCCTCTACCATCCTAGGACGCCAGGGCGCCTCCCGGGAGAAGCCAAAGTTGTCAAAAACAATTGTTCTTTCTCCACGGGTTTTTGTAGTTTCTCACCTTGCTGGCCTCAGTTGTCATGCGCTCCGAGACGCCCCAGTAGCCTTGCAAACCCGCCCCAACACAGCCCAAGAGATTCCTAGCACGGCCTGCGCGAGCCCCAAGACTTTCCACGACCACCCCATGCTCACCCCAAGATGGCCCAAGACGTTCCCATGACGGTCCGGAGGGGCGCCAGGATACCCGAAACGACACCCCAGAGGCCCCGAGCATACCCCGACACGGCCTTTGCAACCACTCGACCGATCGCGACGAGCCTCCTAGGCTTCTGTCTACAAGTGGATGAGGTGGAGGAGGAGGAGGAGGAGGAGGAGGAGGAGGAGGAGGAGGAGGATGAGGATGAGAAGGAGGAGGATGAGGAGGAGGACGAGGAGGACGAGGAGGACGACGAGGAGGAGGAGGATGAGGATGAGGAGGAGGAGGACGAGGAGGAGGAAGATGAGGATGAGGATGAGGAGGAGGAGGAGGACGACGAGAAGGAGGAGGAGGAGGAAAAGGAGGAGGAGGAGGAGGTCCCGACTGCGGCTGCCCTGTGGGGGGTGGCGTCCGAAAGGCGGACGGAGGCCCCCAAGCATTCGGAGCTGACGGGAAGTGCAGTTGTCTGCGGGGAACAGACAAGGGGGATGAAGGGGGAAGGGTGTGAGAGGTGGCGCCACGAAAAGTGGACA